GTATGATAGTGTACACCTCTAGCGTGACTATTTCGCATAAGACAAAATAACGAAAAGTAAACAAGAAAAAGTCAGTATTAGTGTGTTCGATTTTCATTGTGAATATATAGGTTGGTCGGAGTAATGTGTATAATATGCAGTTAGGTTAGGTTAGGACAAGTTAATCACGTTGGACAGGACATGTTTTTGAAAATATTACGTGATATCAAAGATGTCCCAATACATTAGTTCGGACTTGAATTTGTTACAGTGCCGCTACAGGAACTATCAGTGAAGTCTTGAAGTTTATAAAAAACGATAAATCAAGACATTGAAAAAATGATTCATAGTGTCACGATAGTTTATACCTCTGCTCTCCTTCAACATTTTTTCTTGAGATTTATCTAAACATGGCAAATGAAATGTTAAATACTTCACTACCAAAAACTTCGAAAAACGAAAAAAGTATTAGCCATTTGATCTTTATTATATTGACCAATTCCGAATTCGCCACTGCTGTTCGTAAGAATCTGAAAAAACCTGCAGACGATACGTATTTGTCGTCACCACTCGTTAGATTGAATTTGTCAGGCCGAAGACGTCTCGTACACTCAAACGGTCAGTCATACATACGGGTGCCGAGTGCCGACGTTTGTTGCAGCCTAGGACCAACTCGTCACTTGCATTTCCGGGAGTTGTATTGTACAGTGAATGGCGATATTTTTTTCCGGATCCGTTGGACTAGGGATCGGAAGACTCGATTGCAGTAAGTCGTCAGACACTTAACCAAACCTATCCTAATCCAACCCACGGGGCCACAACAATCAACCGGTGGCCTCCTCTACTCCACCGTACACGGCTATTTATTATTGCGGCCATATAATTCATGATAATACCAAAAGTATGTTATTATTATTTTTATTATTGTTGTTTCACTGCATATTATACACACGAACGCATGATGGACGCATAATAATAATAATATAATAACCTGGCGGACGAAGAGTCTGGCAACACGAACCGGTCGCCGATAACGATTTCGCGTACCCCGACCAACATATATATTATTATATTATTGTGTATACCTACATATATTAAAATAATTTACCTGCGTGTATTGCACACTCGCCGCTGCTAAAAAAAGGGTACACTGCTGCAATGACTGTCGGCTTGCCGGCAGTCGCACACTAACCCACATAAACCGACGGCGATGATGATCAATGTGCTGAGGCTGCAGAGAAACATTTATCATTTTATACCAAACAACAAAAATAAATAACCACGGACCAGAGACAATATTACCGGAGGCCACACGCAGAGTGTATACATTCGATTTGCGTGCGGCGTCTCTTAGAGTAGTCTTAGCCTCTGGCCGAGTCTTGGCGTTAAATTAAAGTTTTTCTTTTTTGTTTTGATGAAAGACGAAAAAAACATTGTCGCGATGGTGTTAGGACGTGACACCACGAGTACGCGCGACTTGCAGACGACGTAGACTGGCAGTTCAATGTTATTGTTTGTTAGTCGACTGAAATAAAAACAAACCGTGAAACGTGTAGAAGAAATGAGGAATTTGATGGTGTTCGGATATTGAAAATCCCAAGAAAATATTTATCATATTATACACCACGTACGATTCGAGAAAATTGTATTGCACAGCTATATATTTATTATATAATATGTAATGTTATATCTATATATTAAGTCGGTGGCGATCTCGATCCGTGATTTTCTTAAGACATCACAGTTTGGTCGGAGACGTGATGTCCCGAAGGTTTTGACGTTGATTTTTGTTCGAGTACCGCAAACCTATCGTATACGAACATGATTGCTTTTTTCCTTATTTTCAGACAAAACTAAAATCAAAAACAAAACGAAAATATGTTACAGACGAATGTTGTGTTATTCGCAGCAGCACAATTATTTAAGACTTCGGCATAATTCGGCGCAAGATACCTACATATCGGTCGTCGATATTAACACGACTCTTGAGTTTATTAGTCATTTTAGGCGTCGTATATTATATTATTATAATATTATTACTGTAATACTTGTCGACGATTTTAAGTTTTTACTACGATTTACACATCTATTTACCTACAGCTGACGGCTATACATATTGTATTATAGGTCGGAGATGAAACTTAGCCCGTCGGCGTACACTGCAATGACTCCTCACTATTACATTATATGATGCACGTAACATAACATATTGTAATAATATTGTCCACTGTTGGTCGATGGAAGGACTTGTGGCGCTTAAATCGTTGGCAATCTTATGAATGACCCTACCGGTTGGCTGCTCCTGCTCCGGCTCTTGGGAAGGGCGATCGAGGAATGCTCGCGATTTATGATCCACTGCGGCCCGACCCAGATGCGACCTAAATAAATTAACAAAGTATTGCTTGAATATTTAAGCTCACGGCATAAAGCGAGGTGTGTGATACATGTGTGTGTGTGTTTTCTTTCACAAACGGTCGTTAAACGGTGGAATATCATTTCGATAACGTCATAATTAACGGCAAACACGGCGGCTGTTGATGGTGCTGCAGGTTGTATCTACGCACGCAAAACCCCTAGGAAAACCGATTATTGCCCCCCGTTCACTGCTCTCTCACCTAAATTACTATTATTTTGTGTACGCACTTACAAATGTTCTTAGTTAAATATAGGTATAGACAGGTATAGTGTTATTTTATGGTAATTCAATTCAACATGACTCGATTCTGTCGTTACGACATCGCCGTTCGACCCAGTTCCCGGAAATCGTTGGCACCACCGGTGCGTGACGAACGAAACATACCGTTCTATAAAGGATAATTTGAGCGCTCAAATCTCATTAAGGTTGGTGACCATTTTTGGCCACTCCGATCGAATACTGATTCCGTAAATAAATACAGTTCTTAATTCAAAGTATACGCTTGCTATTAAAATTGGTATATAATACAAAATATTTCACTACAGTAACGATCATCGTTATTTTTTCAGTATCGCCTACTTAAATTAGTGCCATTTAAGTACAGATAAGCTACTGAAACTATTAAAATTAATTAATTTCTTTAGTTATATGCATAATAAATATTAAAAATATAATTGCAGTCCAGCTTCCTTGATATAATATTATTCATATAGGTATGTATATAGTATATTATATTATACATATAGCATTGTTGACGTGCACAAAAAAAATATTACATAATATATGTTGTTTTCCATGTATTTAGTAACTATATTCATAAAATAGGTACCTAGATACTTTTTAGTAAGTTAGGGCCTTAGGAGTGATGAATTCATATCATGCAATGAACCCTGCGATTCCTTCTAAAGCCAAATTAAATAAGGTTAGATACCTACCTTCGGACTTTCAGAGCTATGGCGTTAGTTCCACTTTTCAATTTAAACTTTTTTTCTAAAACCCGTTCGAGTTGGTTATGTACATAGAAACGACGGAATATACTTATAATTTAAATTGAATATTATAATGTGATGATCATTAGATTGACAAAATAGTAAATAATTATAACTTATTTTTTACTGCCAGAAACCACTATATTATGCTATTATTCGTATAATTAATAATTTATTTATCAGTATTTAGGTTTCAATTAGCTGCCATATCATACATCTATTCACTGAAAATGTTGCTTACAGAACAATATTAATTTGGAACCATCGACGTATGGGTTCATAAGTACTTTGCCTCCTCCCCCCAAAAATAGAACAATTATACCCTGCCACCCTGGTAATTATTGCATTAAAATCTCCCTAGGCACATGAACTTATTTTCATTATTTCAACTATCGGCCTTTCCAATCCGCTGTCATGTCCATTAGTACCTTTTCTACATCGTCCCCTGAGAACGTGTATGTATTATATTATACTCGTATATAATTGACATATCCTACCTACCTATCAAAACCGTATCTACATTACTTTCAACTGCAGAATTTTTCATGTCCCTATTCTATTTATGTATCCTAAAGATTGCCATATTTCATCCCCACACTCATGGGACATTTCTTATTTTTTAAAAGATATTATTTCAACATATAAATGTCACATAATATTATATTTATTATTATGTCGTTCTATAACGAAAATAATTAACATTTTTTAAAAAAAATGATTGTAGCTCAACATGGGAAAGAAATATAATTTATTAGTAAGATATTATAAAAAATAAAGAAATAAACAATCTATGAAGAAATGTAAGTACCATTTACGGTTCTAAAATAATCAGCGCAATTACCGGTCCAAATAAATTAGGCCAACATGCATTGGTGTATTAAGCCACAAATCAACTCTCAACGGACACCTATTTTTTTTTCTTTTAACATCATTATCTAAAATGTTTCAAAACAAAATATTCTCGTTGGCGATTTTTCATTGTATCATTCATTGATAATGGGGCGTAATGGATTTATCCAAACCTTACTCATGGAGCCTACAGTATTAGTCAAATTAAATGTACGGTATACATAATACATGACTATTTATATTGTGTTCCATATTTCAAATAATTATTTGCACTTATTTTTTAGTTTTTACTATGAATATTATTGTGACATTGTCGATTTCCCAACTGAAAATCATCATATGCAAATCCAACACACTGCATCGTTCTTATTTTCAGTCTAGGAAAATACAATATGGAATTCAAATAGGAAGCGCAAAAGGATTAAATTTAAAAACTTGTCTAGTACTTAAACTAATACGGCAATATAAGCCTAAGCCCCTACACATGTAAAGGACATTATGAAATTAAAATCTATTTGAAAGCAATCGTTGGCAAATAAATTTAAAAATACATAATTAATTAATATCAGTAAAAGTAGGTATAATTGTATACTTGTAATTATTTTAGAAACAATAAAAGCAAAACCATATAGGTATAACAACTTTTACAGCTTACGTTACTTACAAAAATATAGGTACACCACAATGACGAATAACAGTAGAAATATAAATATTTGTGTAAAGTAATTAATTAATATTCTATGTATTTGGTGGTATTTATGTTTTAGGTGATATATTGCTCAATGAAAAAGATAAAAATCTTGAAAGGATCAAAAGAGATGGTGGTAAGTTTTTATCAGATTTAAAACTGTTTGTACATATTAATGTAAATTAATTATAAAATAATTATGAAAATAATAATAACATTGGTAGAGGTTCGTTAAGCCATTTTATGGAACGAGTGAAAATTAATTAAACTTGTATAATACGAGTAATAATAATAATTATAATAATATCGTAAGTAATAACCGAACAAAACAAAATTTTTGTATACGTACTTAAAATCTTATATATTTTTAGAAATTGTAGTGTTTTAAAATAGTATCGTATTTTTTTTATCATTGTCAGTTAAAATGTTGTTCCATTGATCAGAAATTGAGCATTTATGGTACATAATAGGTATCATTATAGTAGAATTATTGTTTAAACTTTGAAGGATATATATTTTAATTAAGTACATACGATAAAATGTAATTATTTATTAAAATGTAATATATAATAATAACTATAATAAAAATAATAGGGGTCTGGTATGGCGCTGTGGTTTGGCCACCGTCGCTAATATGTGCTGCGGTCGAGCATCGTACGTCGTCGCTAACTCTCACCATATATAAAAGTACCCCTCCCCTTCTCCCACAAAATTTTGATGGCAATAGTTGCCGAGGCTTCAAAAACTATTTAAAAAAATTATATTTATAATATTTACCATGTAATAATTCAAGTAATGTTCAATTTTATTTGAACACCTATCTTAAGATTTTAATCTTGACCCATAGTGAATATACCTACGATTACTATAATATAAACAAAATGTAACGTAATAACTTTTAATTGATAACCTAATTAAAAAATAAATGTTAAAATAAACAAAAATTAAATAAATAATAGCTTGTTTGATTTTCACTAAAATAACTAGATATTTTCATGTCATATTGTTCCAAATGCTATAAAACGTATTGATTTGATAAAAATATGTAATAAATTGATATAATTTAAAAAGTAAGTATTCTTATATTTTTTAAAAATATGGAAACATCACGTCAAAAATTGAAAAAAGTAAATATATTAATACCAATGTAAGTATTGATCAATTAGAAATTTAAAATTCTTTATTTTTTAACTTTGATTTCAAATAATTTAAAAAACAATAATTCAAATTCAAATAAATATATATTTATATGATTCACTCGTTCCAATAATTGCTGCTTTACTTTTGTATATATGAATATCATATTATGTACCTACTGATGTATGTGTAATTTCTTGTCTGTTCTGTCGCTCTAACTTTGCTACCCCCCTATGGTTTAGATGTGACTGTCCTGTTGGTGGACGACAATGGCAAGAAAAAGACATCCCCGACACTTGGACTATTGTCTTCCATGGCACGAACATTTGTCCAGGACGGTGTTACTACTGAGTATGCAACCCACGTTATTGGAACCACCGTTGGTGACCGTTATGCACATATAGTCAGTACTGGTTCAAGGGTATTTTATGACAATATTAAACCAACGAACCGACATGACACCCCAGAAATTAACTTGCAAACAATATTAGATAACCTTGGACATCCACAGGTATTTGAAAATACCAAAGAGGAAGAAACAAATTTAATTAAAGGAAGAAAACTTGAATTGTCAACCACTCCAGAACCGATTGACAAATTAAATGTATCTGTTAGACAGGAAATATCAATCAGAAAACATTTTACTCCTGATTCCATTAAACCATCAAAGGTGAATACAAAAAATGGATTGCCAACCTTTACGGTAAAAAATAATGATGAAGACTATTTGCCAGCATTAGAACTAACAACCAAGCGTGAAGACTCATTTCGAAATAAATTGAGATCATCAAAGAATTTGTTTAGAAATGGGCTCAAACCAGTAGAAATAAAGAAATATGAAACCGTCACGTATTTTGGATTTGCAGATTTTATGACTACAGTTGGCAATACAGTTATAATATTTATGCCCAAAACTCCAGCTATACCTGAAGCCACAGGTATAACAAGCATTAAAGGTGAAGCAACACTTCGACCGGAAGATATAATAAATCCAACCAAATCTGTAACATTACTGTCCACTAAAACATTAGAACTTACTACGGAGAAATCCGAATATAGTAGTATACTAGAATCTAGTATCGCAACAACAGAAGAGACGATAGCCTTACCAACAGAACCGCTATCTCGTCGCATTTCAGAAACAACAAGAGTGTTTAACAATGAACAAGAAGCATTAGGATTATTGAAAACAATTGGAGGTGTGGATGTTATCGATAGTAAGACTACTAGGCTCACTACGTTCTTTTACGGTACGTATATTAATGGTAAATATACACAGCTAGAACAAACCGTATCAACGTTGTTATCAAAACCATCACAAACAACTAAGCCATCCAAAATTGAAATACCGATGACCAAAATTCCTACAACAACCGAGTCTCAGGTGACAACAGAAAAAAATATGAATGAAATGACAACTGAATCTGAAGAAGAAATTTCCACTACACCAGAAGAAGAAACGGTATCGCCAACTTTATCTACCGAAGACATATTGTATAAAACATACACATATTTAACAACATTCTTTATACCTGTAGATGACAGTTTAACAACTACATCTGTTAAGTCAAGGGTTGTACTATCACCAGAACCTACCCATTTAACTGAAAATACAATGAGTACAATCACAACGACCACTACAACTGCAACTGAAAGTATTCCTTCAACTACAACTGAAAGTATTCCTACAACTACTCCTGAAGAAGACGATAATAAATACACTACAACAGAGGAGATTACAATTACAACTGAAAAAGAGTCTGAAGATAAAGAGATTTCGGAGTTAACAACTATTCCAATGAAAGAGGAAGTAACAACAGAAAAACCGATTATTAAAGAATCTAACGATGAAATGGTAACTGAAATGAGTCCTATAACTATAAAACCACAAGACGAAGAAGAAGAAGAAGTGGAATTGTTGTTTAAAACATTATACACAACCTACACGTACTTAACAACCTTTTTCCAAGAATCAACTACTAGTGTTTTAAGTAGAGAAGAAGTTGTAACAAATATTATTACATCCACTTTAGAAAAAGATTTTTTGGCCACAGATCCTGCAGTAGCTGGCCTTTTTGACAGAGAAGAAGGTAGCTTACTGAATACAATGGTACATGAGACAGCAAGAAATCCAAGAGTATTAGCTACACGCGTCGGTTCGGGAAGACCATCGTCTGCTTTTCTGCATAAGCCAGTTGATGATTTATTTGCTTCTACATTAGACTCTGTAGACTTCAAAAGAGAGTTAGCCACACCTCCATTAGATGATAATATTGTCAAAACATTTTCAAAAACATATACATACTTTACAACACTTTCATCAGATGGATCGACTAACCTTAAAAGTCACATTGAAGTATACACTAATGTTATTAAACCATCTAATATTCCATTTTCGCAAATCATTCAACCCACAGTAGTGAAAAATAAAATCAAACCTACATTATTAAAAGTACCGAACACAACACCAGAACCAATGGATGATCCAGAAGCCGTAATCGAGGAAACAGCAAAAGAAGAAATTGATAAAAAGAAAGATCAAAACAATGAAACATTAATTACACCATCTTATAAATATGATATGACAATAACAAGAAACCGCACTAATTACAATGCCATAACCGATGAAAAAGGTTTGAACGACGTGATTGGTGAATCGGTGATTACAGATACAAAGTCTATCTCATCAAATAATATTAAGCGAAAAGTTTCAACTGACGAAGATGAAGATATGGAAAGTTCTGAAACCAATGAAAATATTGAATCATCTCCAACACATCAATTACAAACTAGTTTCACGACATATACATATTTCACAACAATTTATAAAGGGAGTTCTTCTAGTGAAGTTGTCAGTCGATTTGAAACTATAACAAATGTTGCTTCTCCGGTAGTAGAACCAACAGAAGTAGATACTTCAAACAACGAAGAAACTACATTACCAGTAACTTTTTTCACAACTTACACCTATTGGACTACCCTATATAAAGATGGAAGTACATTAGTAACTAGTCGAGAAGATACTTCAACTAATATTGTATCATCTTCTGTTTCTGATAGCATTTTAATAACACCCACAATAAAACCTTCATCTACTACTAAATTAATAGACGTGGAAACACTGAATCCAACCACACCTACAACGTTCTTCACTACATTTACTTATTTTACAACGTCTTATCTTGATAACGAGACAGTAGTAAATAGTAGATTGGAGACTGTAACTAATGTATTAAATACAACAAAATCCGAAGAGAATATGAATAACGATGATTCTGAAAGTGAAGGTAGTGTTATTAAAACCATGCCAGGGAAACCATTAAATAAGAGTATACCAATTACAGTTTTAAAACCAACAGGATCATTGTCATCAATTACAACACTTAAAGTTAATAACGGAGAAACTACTTTATTCTCCACAGATGTTTATGGTACTTACATTGATGGGTTATATGTTCAAATACTTGAAAGTAAGTCAAATATTATTAAAAACACATCACCAAGCGATGTAAAACCTACTGGTAAAAGTACTGGGGTTGTGGCATTAAATGAAGGTAAAATCATTGATGCCGACGGAGTAAGTACTACATTTTATACAACAAAAGCACTTGGTACTTATATTGATCAACTTTATGCTCAAGTTATTGAAAGTACATCGTCAATCAAGGTTAATGACAAAAAAAAAATTGGTGAACCTTCGACAACAATTCTAGGTACTAAAACATATCGTACTGGTTTAATAAGTTTAATTGAAGGTACAAGTGTTAAGGATATAAGTACAACATATTACGAAACGAAAGTAATTGGAAAAGTTATTGATGGAAAATATACACAAGAATTTGAAAGTGATTCTAAAGTTAAAATAGGAGTTCAACCGACTGCGGTTCAAGAAATAAAAGCATCTTCTACCCAACTTAATGAAATCTTTCAAAGTGAAATTCCAATATCACCATCACCTGCAACAATTGAAAGTTCACAAGGGGAAAACGGATCTACAACAGAAAAAAGTGAAGAAACAGATGACGAAAACTCACCTAAGAAGAAAACATTCCCCGTTATCAGACCATTTGCATCGAGACCTAGACCAACTTTTCAACCAAAAAAGAAATCTACCGATAGTTTGGGAGCTGCTACTATAAATAGGAGTATAACACCAACAATAGTTGCAACTCCAGCGTTGAAAACAAATGAAAAGGGTTTAGGACCGTCCAGCAGAAATCGATTTTCTGGTGTCAGAAAATCTAGTACATCACAAGTATCTGAAATAACACCATCACCATCTAATAGTCGAAAATATTCTAGGTCTAAGAGTGCTAATACACCAATAGTGTCTGCCTCAGTTAGTTTTAAAAGTAGAACACCTTCATCGACTTTGAAAATATCCGCAACAGCTTCTGCGTCTAGTTTTGGTGGTGCTCGAAGAAGCAGTTTGAGTCAACGACAAACAAGTTCAAAACTACCAGAATCAATAACAAGAACCTCCTCAACACCATCACGGTTTAGAATACGACCAACAGTATCATCTAATTTTAATCGATTTTCAAGTACTTTAACAACAAGTACGGAAGAAGTGCCAGATAACAACGAAGTAAGCACATCATTGGTACCTGATGAAACTTTGTTAGTTTCTAATAACGAGGAAGATGAAAGTATTACTGTGCCTTCAACAACATCAACAGAGTCATCAAGAAGAGGAAATAATCCATTGCTGAAACTTCGACGACCTCCGTTACAAAAAACTTCTATAACAACACAACCACCACGACGAAATCTGGCAAGAACAACAGTAAGAACAACGACAAGTACAACTACTACTACACCTAGACCTCAAAGACCAAAAACACCAAGTCCATTAATTACACGTAATCGGCCTAAGCCAGTTAATGGATTATTCCCATCTAGAGGATTCGGTAAAAAGGAACAAGAGCCAGAAGTAACAAGTGAATCAAATCTCGACGAAGAAAAACTACAGCAAGAAGAAAAAACTGTCGACGATTTTGACGATAATATAGATAGTGCTGTAACACAAGTTGAAACACAGTCAAATGCAGTATCAGAAACTGAGCGACCATCAAGGGGAAGTCGAACTTTTAATAATAACCAAGTTCAAATCAGGCCCTTTAATAGTAGAAGAAGTAGAACAAAAAGACAAGTAGAGTTTGGAAACAAAAATGACAATAGCAGAAGTTATAGAAGTAGACAACCAGCTAAAAATACAGCTGTTGATTATTATTATGAAGATGAATATGTGGAACAAGAAACTCCCGCACCAATAAGAACACCTCCTCCAACAAGAAGACAGCCAAGTCGATCTAGGCAACAACAACAGCAACAACAACAAAGATTAACGCCTACCACATCTTCTTCTAATGTTGGAAGATCACAGTTTACTTTACGAGAAAAGACTCCAACAACAATGGCTCCAGCAACTACATCAAGGTCATCGAATTTCAGAAGAACGCGACCACCTGTACCACAAGAAACAACTACGTCCAAAAGATTATCTAGATTAAGATATCCAACTACAACACCAGAACCAGTCCGAAACAACCGTCGTTATACACCTTCAGCTCGTAGACAAAACACACGAACGAGATTCAGAGAAGATGCAAACACATTTTCTAATACTCAAACTATTTTTGATGGTTCAATCACAGTTACACATAAGATACCAACAGAATTAACAATACCTATAGTTATTGGAAAAAATACAGAATACAAACAAGTGTTGACGGCTAAACCCAGCATTGAGATACTTGGACCGCATCAATATAGTACTGTAGCGGGTAAAAATGGTTATCCAACAATTCAACTTGTTAGGGAAGTTACTGAAACATTACCAAATGGAGCTACCGAAATAACTAAATTTGTTATTTATGAACAACCAACAAGTAGTATAACGTTTACTCCCACTTATATAAGAGGAAGAAAAACATCTTATTCTCATATAATTCCGAGTACTATATATGAAGTTAAACCGGAAGTAAACACGATTCAGCCACAACAATTAGCTAATGCACCATTAGCCAATTTATTGTTGTCACAACTACTATTAGGTAACTTAGGAATTCAGCAAACAGTAAATCCATTATTAGCTTTAAATTCAGCTATGGCTACACCTCAGTTACCCACAACTGAGTTTAAGACGAAAAGCACAACTTATGTGACTACAGTTACTCACTCCACATCAACAGTATTGCCAATAACTTTTAGAGGAAAAGTCATATCTACAACAGTGATTGACAGTTCTACAAATGTTATAACGGCAACTGAATATATTACTGAAACAATAGTTACTACTCCTACGGTCCATCAAACCAATAATCAACTAAATACATTATTATTACCTGCTTTACTTCAAGCTCAATTACTAGGACAAGTCACTACTGCAAATACTTTAATTGGCAGTATTGATTCTACACAAGAGGAACTTCTTCAAGAGTTAATTGAACCAACTCCAAAGTATGAAGATTCCTCATCAAAAGATGAAACTAAACCATCGAAAAAAAAAATTGTTACCAAAAAACCACCAGACCCCGCTATACATCCCGCGGAAGCAAGTGTTGTGACATTATATGTATCTGGTAAAAGACCGGGAGAATTTAGTACTGTGTTATCTACTGTAAATTATGATGAAACAGCAACCGTTCGAAAACGTGAAGTAGAGCCTTCATCAGTAATGGATTTAATGGCGACTGAATATGATGATATTCTTTTATCATCTACTGACGATGATCAAATCCAAAAATATAACGAAGAAGAAACTCAAAGCTTAGAGAGTATATTAGGTGACGTGAGTAAAAATGTAAAAATTGAAAACAGAGCTACGAAAGTAAACGCAGTACTTGTTGAGTCATCTTCTCAGCAAAATCAAGAAACTACCGGTCATTTTTTATTGAAAGGCTCCGCTGATACTCCAGTTCAGCGGGAAGTCGTAAAATCCAAAATCTGGAGTTCACAAAATCGAACAAAAAGAAACACGCCTAATTTTCTACCCACTAAGGACGTATTTCTGTTTGATTTTCCAAAAAAACCGAACAAAAACTTAACCCAAAGCATTTTGTATAATGTTGGTGATAGGGAAAATTCTTCTTTTACTTTATCAAAAATTCCACAAGAATATAATATTGACACCAAAGGTAAGATGTTATTTTATAATAATCCTTGAGATGAATTTGATTTAATGCTTTATTTTTCATTTTACAGTTGATGAACAAAGGGCATTTGACGAAAGGCGCTTTAATTTTGCTACAAAAAAAATGAGTAATGGTGTTGAAGTAATCGTTGCCGGAGATAAAAGTACATATCCAGGCCAAGCCAATGTACTAAGAGTATTACCTACATCGCAAGCTAAACCCATAACACTTGCTCCGAGCACATTAACTGATCACATGCTTATGATGCTACCCCACCCTATCAAACAAGTTTGTTTCCAAATAATATTTTAACATACTGCAGTGTTTTATTTCATTAAGTAAATTTTATTTTAGAGCATGAATAACCAATTTGTTACCAAGACATATCTTACTACATATACATATTTAACTACATTTCTGGACGGAGAAGCTACTGTAGTATCCAGTCGAGAAAAGGTTGTATCTAACGTTGTAACCGATGAAGTGAATAAAATTACTCCTACTTCAACTCTTAGTCAAGTTACATTAACAGCTAGTCCGAGTTTAGAAACAGGCATTTATCACACAACATATACATATTTAAATACTATTGTTGATGGTGATATTCCACTAGTAATGACAAGTCAAAAAACTGTGGCTAACACAGTGACAGCTCCTCATGAGTTTCTCACTCCTTTACAGCCATCTGAACCTGCCTATCATAACACTAACACCTACCTTAACACAGGTAAGAATAATTAAATATTTGCATTTGTATGACAATAATAATAATATTTTGTTTTTTTTTTAGTTTCGTTCACCAAAACTTTGAGCGATGGGCCTGATTATACTGTCGTAAGTACAGAAGATATATTAACACAAGTGATAATAACCCAAACAGACAATACGCCAACAATGGATACATCCAAATTAAACGAAGAAAGTACGATAACGGATGTAACTAAAACGTATTATGTTACTTACACATATTTTAATACAATTCAAGATGGAGATCACACTATTGTAAAATCAGATATTTCTGTATCATCTGATATAGTTACGGAAAAGTATCTAATACCAACTAAAATTGAAGAAATACAGCCAACGCCTACTGTTGATAAATTACCATTTCATTTGTATGCAACTAAAACCTATCTAACAACTTTTACTTATTTTACAACATTATTGAAAAATAATGACGGTAAAAATCCATCAATTACTCAAGTTAAATCCAGAACTAAAATTGTTCAGAATATAGTAACTGAATCATTAAATACTTCAATATTTAATGCAAATTATTTATCTTCAATAAGCTCTTCAGTACAAAATGAAAAAATACCTATAACTGCTACTGCCACTTTAGATAATGGTCAACGAATAGAATTCACTGCTATGAATGATTTATTGCCAACTATGCAAAGTGAAATAAGCCCAACTCATGATATTCAAACTCAAGAAACTCAAAAACCGATTATTAATGAAAACACTTATAAACCAAATGAAAAACTTAAAGAAACAATTAAACCATCAAGTGTTAGTAAAGTTTCACAAAAAACTGAAATTCAAAAGCCACCAAAAAAAAACACTCCACCAAAGTCGGAACAAAAAATTCCTATAAATCCAATACCTGTTAAGCCAGATAACACTAATGTTGGAGGACTAATTGATTTTGGAACAATAGGAAGTAGCTTAACAGCTCTTAAGCCGGTTATCAGCGCTGTTGCTGGTATTATTCAAAATAATTTGAAAAATGACCAAAAAACTAAAAATGTTCATGTGCTACAAAAATCAACACCAAAACCAGTGAAACCAGAAACAACAAGCCGGGCTCCAATTTATATACCAGTAGGTGGACTAGCAGATTCTGATGGATCAGAAAGCCAACAATATCCAGACACTGATCAAAGACACCCACATGTTGGACCAGCAAGACCACCTGTAGAGGCGTCTTTATTATCAGGAGGAATTCCTATAAGTCCTGGTGAAGTAATAACGACAAATAGCGATGTAATTATTGGTAAACCTTCAGTTTTAGGTCCAAGACCACCAATGGAAAATTTAAAAAAAGAAGAAATACCTTTTGGTATGAGACCACCACCTCCTCCCCCCTTACAGTTCAAAGATAAAATTTCAGTTCCTAATAATATCGCGAGAGAGCATATAAAACATTCATTACCACATACTGATAGAAAAAATACTCAACCTATTCGATATCAAGAAAACAGAGTACAAGCTCAATATCAGCTAACTAATGCACCAATTAAATCAGAAGTTAATATTATACCACTAAGGAAGCCAGATCCTTGGCCAACAAAGTTCGTAACTGATGTTCAACCATTGGTCTTGAAAAACCCAGATATTCAACCTCAAGTTAATTATGGAAACCAGCATATAATTACATCAAATCAACCATCCTTTTTGGAGCAATCTGCTGTTGATCCATTATTAGTAAATATACAACCATCTCAAGTTGCTCAGGTTGTGATTCCACATGGTAGCCAAACTGCATTAATATACAGTGATCAACCAGCAGTTGGTCATGGTCCAAAAGGAGAAATTTTTAATGACCCGCAGCCATACCCTGAAAATCATGTTAATCCAGGTTTCGTGGGATTAGAAATTTATGGTACTTTAAACCCAACGAATAATGTTGAATCAAAAATACCAGCAAATGCAATGCACTTTGATATCCCAGTTTCTCCAGCTGGTATTACTGTGGGTGATTCAGAATCACATCATGTAGTATTATATGATAACGAAACAGGAGAAGTTAAAACAAGACCTGTACATGTTTTAAAACCACAAAACTCAAGCAATCAATACCTAACACCCCCAACAATCTTACAAGTTAACTCATTTGTAAGGCGACCTGATGCTGAATTATCAGTCGAAGATGATTTATTACAATTCGAAGATGGTGAAGTAACTCAAGAATCTAAAAAAACGCCTTTGAGACCCGGAGAATTACCATTTGGAGTACACAGCAGTGAGTCAGATGAAGATAGAACCCCAATAATTACTGGAAAACCTATTGTCGGTAATTTTAAAGGTGAAGAACAAACTTTATCGATCGGACAACCTGTAAATAACAAAGAACCAACAGAATTAAGGCCCGGAAATTTTGTTGTACCGAATGAAAATCGTCCAGATTTACAGTACAACATTCAACACTCTCATGAACAAATGGCGAATAACACAATGAAACAAAATAAACATGTAAATAATCTTCCTCCAAGAGATGACATTCAACAAGCGATGAATATGGATGAAAAATTACCACCTTTGCCGACAATTAAGCATGATAATAATGATTTGGACAGCCAAGGAAGTACACCACAGCCATCTATAGTGAAACCAAATAGTGATAATGAAGTTTTAGGCTTATCCCCTCCTCCAGTTATTACACATTCATTAAAATATGACAATTTTACACAAAACCCTCAAGTGTCTAGGAGACCTTATCGTCCAAAACCAAAACCGTCAACAACTCCTCCATACCAATTTGAAAGGCCTCCGAATAGAAGACCATCGATTCCACATAATAATCAAGAAGAAATGATTCTAAAACCATTGTCTACTACTGCAAAAATTGAACCTGTTAAAAAGTGGGAGGTTTCGTTAAATCCAAGACCTGAATACAGACCTACTTATAAAGAAGAAAAACCTGAAATAATAAAAGCAGAAAGTAAAGTTTTCAGCCAAGGTTCGAGTATAAAATCACAATTACAAGAAAAAACTAAAGAAAATACGGTTATTTTTAGTGATCCTGTAACACAGGTAATACCTACCGTTGTCACTCAAGATACAACTAAATGGTATGAATACAGCCCTATTTCAAGTACAGAGAGTAAAATAGAAACAGTTCAATCCACAACAGAAACTCCAGCACTGACTTCAATTACTATTGGAACTATAAAGTCGCATACAACACCGAGTAAACCAACAAGTAAGACAACTGATTATCATAGTGTTATAAGTGTTATTGTCAAGAACGAAGAAAAGCCAGAAGATAAATCTAATGTAGATATAGTTGAAAATCCTACAACGCCCAAGCAAAAATCACAAATGAGACCCCAAGTTACAATCTTACAACTTCCAGAAAGACCATCGTTCATGGATGAATTTCACAAGCAATTACATCAAGGCTCATCACTTCCAACGAGGTTTGTCACACATACCCAAACATTGTCAGTAACTATAACAGAAACAACAGTTTTACAAAGTGATGGTTTCGAACCTTCTACTCATACACTAGTTCTTACTAAAACCCAAACGTCTACATTAGTAGACACAGTAACTGAATTTCATACATTGTTGAAACCTACGCAAGTCCTGTCTACGGTTACAACTACAGTTCCCGCACCAATACGTTCTGACCCTGTTCTTCAAGCGCCAGTAGTGGAAGGCACGAAAACAAAAACAATTAGTATACCCCCAGATGAAAATGAAACATTATTAGTAGTTATGACCGATAAAAAAGGAGGAAACAGTGGAATACCACCCGAAATACAAGTTCCTGATGAAACAAATGAAATAGGACCGAGTGATGTATTACTAAGTGGCATTCTAACTCACTCATCAGACACAGAATGTCGACCTGAATGCAAAGCGTCTAAAAATGAAATCTGTCAGAGAGTAGAAAATATAATGCGATGCGTGTGTAGACCAGGTTTTGCAAGAATGTTTATGGACAGACCTTGTAAACGTAAGTAATTTGTCTTAAGATAAAAATATGTTCTATGATCATAATATTTTTCACATTTATTAAATTGCATCTATAATATGTGTTCTAGCTACTTATACGTATACTATGAAGTTAGTATTGGACAAATTCCGTAAAGAGCCCATTAAATATTCCACACAATTAGATGACCCTAGTTCAAATCAATATCAAAAACTGACCGAAGCCACTAAAGAAGGATTAAATCGTATGTCAATGCAGTCAGATCTAAGAGATATTTATCATGGTGTTATAGTTGGAGGTTTTGAACCTGATGGAAAAAGTGATAAAGCAGTCGTATCATATATAATACAAGTAATATTTCATTTATAATAATATTATTTTTGATTAATTAACTATTTTTTAAATTGTTAAAATATATATTTTTTAAGCTATCTGAAAATGCAGAAGACATTAAATTGTGGGAAGCAACAAAAAAATCACTCAGAGCCACAAACTATAGTTTAGGAGGAACTGACATATTTGTTGCACGAGACCAGTTACAACAATTATCAGCAGAGGGTAAACAATTATAAATAATTTATACTAATTTTATAACAAAAACTTAAAATGTTTTATGTTTAGACTTTAATGAATGTAGTGATTCAAAATTCCACGACTGTTCAGATAATGCACAATGTTTTAATTTACATGGGACGTATACATGTAGCTGCAAAGATGGATTTTCTGACCTTTCACATAACACTCAATTTCCTGGCAGAGTTTGTTCATGTAAGTTTTTTTTTATACTTTTTAATAAACGCATTGACTTAAACTATTTTATAATTTGTTCATTAGCTGAACTTATTGGATGTGACTTATGTAACTATCATGGAACATGCTATTTAAGCAATCAAGATGAAACGATTTGTGAATGTTTTCAATGGTATGCTGGTAAACACTGTCAGTTTAACTTAAAAGGTAAATTGTTAAATTATCTGACTAATTATTTTTTATTAGTTAATAATATTCTTCAATATCATGATATTTTCAGTTTTATTATTGGGACTGATTGCCATTGGAGTGATGTTATTATCGCTTCTTATTGCATGTCTGTTAATGGCTTGTTGTAAAAAGCAATCCAGAGAGTCTGTCGTGGGCTTATACCAACCTCAGCGTCCAGTAATAGGCTTTAGACGTTATAAAAATATGATAGCCACGACAAGAGGTGACAAAAGAGCAATGATCAGTGTCGATACAGGTAGTGAAACAAGCATTGACCATACACCTCCTCCATATGTTAAACAAGTAAGTGTCATATAAATTAATATGGAACACATTAAATCATTATGGCTATATGAATAGGTTATAAACATGCAGAGACAAACTCACGCTCACGTCCATTCCCAAATGAAACCTCCTTCTCCATCTAGTCACGGGGGCAGCACTATGCGAAGTGGATTAGAACAACGAGATAGAAGTCTTACTGTAATGATCCCAAGAGCTAAATACCGACCAGCTCCTCAACAAGCACCACCATCCATATTGACTATGTCAACTTTTGGTCCGGAACAAAAAGCCATGTCATATATGGACTCCCGACAAACGCCAACAAAAGTAACTGGATACAAATTTGCACCTATTTAATGATTGAAATACGACTATAATGTATGCATGTTCTACGTTATATAGGGATCAAGATGCAGTAGCCGAAAACCAAGTGATTCAACACAGAGATCTGTAGAAATTCAACCACCTCAACGTAAAAAACATGCTGCTCCCAAAAAACCATCAACAGGTAATGATAGTATTAGCTAGGTTTGAAAAACAAACATAGTATTGACAAATATTATTCATCACAGGTGCACTAGTGTCTGCTGGGTTCGAAGTTTCCGCTACAGTTGTAAAAACTAAAGAGCTAGACGAAGCATATACATGCCGGGAAGATAACAAACCAGATTTTAATACTGGCAGAACAGCAGCCGCCAGGTACTTGAACTTACAAAAATATTCACACAATGAATATTTTTAGTATTTATGATTATTGAGTTAATACTAAGTAACAATTGTTAGTTAATAATTAATCACAAATTCGATATTTTTTAGAACTGTATCTGTTGCAAGATCGTTCGATGAGACAACCATACAGCCACCAACTAGATGTTATCATCCAGAGAGTCATTATGAATCTAAATCACAGTATTCCCATAAAACGAATGACGTAAGAAATTTAACTATGATATTCAAGTATAATGTATTTTAATTCATAGTGGAACCTCAAATCAAATGTCTTGGATTCCAACATTCAGCAAACTTAATATTAGATTAAACTTATATTAAAATAATAAGCCACGGCTCTTATAAAAAAATTTTAAATTACAAACAACATTAGACAGCATTTAAACTAATATGTCAAAAGTAACTATTTAAAATCTATTAAAAAGACAGTAGCTTATAAAAAGTAAAAACAAATAGCAGTTAGGTATGTCGACAAATTATTGAAGTAAAACTTCTTTACAGAGTACGAAAAAAAGATTATCGCCCGTCACGACACTATATGATTTCTATAGTAATAATTAATAATAGTGTTTTTCTTATCTTTGTATATTTGTATAATAATAGCAATGAGTTAATTTCGATTGAAAATTTTTTTTCCAATACAAACCTAATATTTTACCGTGGTGACGATCTCGATGTCACAGGCTATAATCTTTTTTTCCATACCCTCTGTTAAAAATGTTCTGTTTATCCGCTTGTACTTGCAATACGCACTTTATTTCTCCCATAAATAGCGCCAATATTAATATAATACAGGGGGACGCTTCCTTTATGAAAATTTCGATTCCACTAAGTGGATACCTGTGACATATTATATAGTATTATGTAATTAATTTCAAGTATTATCATACGATTAATTATTGCATTATACATTTAAAGTATCAACTAATAGATATTATGTATGGTGGACCTCGGTGATACAAAGGGTGGAACATATTTCACATTTAATTTTACAATTATTATTTTTCAACATTAAATTGAATAAATAATAATTCATATTTCTAAAATGCATACATATCACGTAGGTAGGTACTATCGACGTTTTTGGATGAGTGACTAGATGCACAAATATATATCTAGGTATATTAAAAAAAAAAAAAAACATTACACTCGATAAAAGTATAATTAATTTTTATTTTGGCTGCATCGATCAGACCAATCGGCTAAAAATAAACTTATATTATACAGTTACAATTATAAGTATTAAAAAAAATGCACACGTTTAAAATTTGTATTTTCTAGGAGGGTCATACGATGGTTGAACGAGATTTGGGCTCCACATATCTAATGCCTCAGTCGAAACTTTATAAGCCAGACAATAGAGTAATTAAAGAGAAAATCATTAAACTTTTTTATCATTTTAAAATTATTGTTTTATTGCAGGGAAGTGACACATCGAATTTTGACTCCCTATGACGGAATTGATCTATAATTACCTTATCATGCCATATATATTATTATTAACAGTGATGTGAGTATTCCATGAAAAAGGATACGTTTCAATTTCAAAAAATTGATTATCTCAAGAATTTGTTAAACTTTAATTTTATACACACAGGAATATTATATATTATATGTATATATATAATATTAAAAATAAATGTTTCAGATAATCATCTTATGTTATACCTATATTTGTACAGCTTCCAAAACTCTGTACTTTTAATTTATTACTGTATAATGATATTATATTATAATGTCCTAAAACAATATTAATATTAGTCTATAATATTATGTTACTCTAAATAATATTAATGATACACAATGCCATATAAATAGGTAATTTTGTTATTAGCTTAATTGTATACTATTATTAATTTTTGTATGCTTAAAAATATTGATGCTGTAATTCATTTGTTATGAGATATTCTCTTTTCTTGTGATTACCTCATTAAGGATCAATCATAATGAAACGACAATACCTCTTTTTATATTTTTATTTAATTTGTTTTGATGTCTTTAGCAAATTAATGATGTTTCGTTAAATTGATGACATAGTTTTTAAATTGTAGTTAAAATTAGTTATTAAGGATACCAAGCCTTATTTGTGCCAAAAAAAATAATGTCATCTTTCGAAATTACATTAAGATAATTTGTGTACTTATATGTGTGTTTCTTTTTATTTACCTATTGTCAACACCTATAAGTTTTTCAACGATTAAAAGCTTATATACCTATACTATTATAGTTTATAGCTGTTAGTACTTAGTGTTTTAACATGTTATATAATTGAACGAAAGGTAATCTACAATAATACTTCGTGTTTATAAATTTATAGTTCTAAAATTCATAATCACCTAATTATCCTAAATATAATTTATTATAATATGCAAGCACAAACAATTTCAAGCAATGCTTACTATAATCAGGTTTCAGCTCATCCCCATGCGACACGCCTTATGATATTGGAACAATGGAACAGTTCTCGATGGATGGGTGTCGCGTGATGATGCACCAAATCGTCAAGATTATATTATTATGCATTTATTAAACGTTCAAGATATGTCACACTGCACAGAACCAGTCATCACTTAACAATAATTCAACGACTCAAGAAGTCTAAAAAATTATTTCAACGATTACTGTATTAGACGGACTCCAACCTAAAATTAAATTTGTAGCACTGCATACTCTACGGAATATAATGGCCCAATTGCTATGTATTAGTAACTCTCTTCCACGTATATATATATATAAGATCTATAATATTATACAAAAATACTATTATATGAATTAAAGGTTCTAAAATTGCATGAACTGTATTTCTTTGAAATATTTCATTTGAATAAAAAATAAATCAATTTAAAACTATAGAAGAAAGTAAAGTGAACAACTCTACTTTTAAAAATATTAAGTGTAAAATGTTATAGGATATTGCTTACATCGCATATTATATAAATTAAATAACAATCATCTATCTTATAATATATATGTTCTCAACATCGTAAAATATATTGTAATTTGTAATACATTATAATCAAATATTGATAATCACAAATCAGTCTGACCATCTAATGATTTTATTAAACACACCAAAATATATCACAAAATTAAAGTCAAATTAAAAAATGTATTTTTTTTAATTTCATTGCAATATTTCAAAGTGAAAATTTCATGTGAAATATTTCTTACACATAACCCAAATTCTGATTGTACGCAGCCATTCACCTTGGGTAGGGAACTATTAAAATTAACAACTAATAATGATTAAGACAAACATTTAGGTAATATGTATATTATGTACAAATATTAAGTATTTATATAACTATTTTCAATACATGATAAAATTATTTAAATATTTAAATTCTTTTTGAGCTAGGTATACCTATAGTGTAACATAAGATTTTTTGAAAATTATTGTTGATAAATAATTATTGCCTTAGTCAAAAAACTTGAAAACGTAACAGATACCAGGTTTCTATAAGTTCCTCGTAAGTTGTTAAAATATTATAATTAAAAATAAGAGTTGAGTAAATTAATAATAATTTGTTATGATCGTCAGGAGTTAGAACTTTTGAAAATTATTTTGAGTTAGACATTTTTTTATAAATTTCTAAAATATCTAAGATTTAAAAATGTAATATAAAATTCCTCATAAGTTTTTCTACTTTTAACAACAAATACAATTTACCGGAAAGGCACATACATTTTTAATGAGGGATGGAAATTTCAATCTCTCAATGAACAAATTACTTATTATATTGTATTCAAAATCAAATAATCTTATAAGGAACATTTTATTAATTTATTATTGTTTGGCATTTGTGGATTTTCTTTTATTTATATATTTAAAACTTGAAAACCCGAGAGCTTAGAGGAATTTATTCTCAATTTTTAATAAATAATTTAAGAACTATTTAATTATTTTTAAACAGAAATGTCTTACCTTTTTTTAGTGTAGCTCTAATAAAAATAACCGTAAGTCACTGAATGTTTCTTCTAGCAATTTTTATATACCATATACAATATCCATCTTTCAAAATATTGCAATTCATTTTGAGCTATTTACCTACAGGCAAAATAGGTTTCGATTTTTTTTTCAATTATTGTCAATGAAACATTTTTTGCCCTGGCAAAAAAAAATGAAAATTGAATACATAGTTTCTCATAAATTATTGTAATAGTTTGATACTGTAATAATACGTTACCGCCGTTACCTATAACTTATAAGTAACATGTACGTAACTAATAACATAATTATCTAGCACCAATTTACTTTGGTAATAGCATAATTATCCTGAATAATTTTTTTTACCTACCCACCCTGCACCCGTCCACCCAAAGTTTTAAATGGTTGAAATGCACCACCTTAAGTGCGTACTCAGCACCACTCCTGTATTGTAATTGTAACTAATGAACTTCATAAAATATGGCAAAAAAAGCCAAAAAAATGACGCAAAACAGAAACAATTAGATATAACACAAATTAAAGTTAAAAATGAGAATCTCAGAATAGTGAACTATGTAACTGAGGCCAATATGAAAATAGTGTAGTGGGCCAGTTACGAGGTGTACCATTTATAAATGTAAATTTTCGGTGGCTCAGCTACCGTATGTAATCCTTTTTGGAGAAGGTTCATGAACGTCAATACATTTCCTTATCTGTTAGGTAGGTAGGTACTGTATTAAGGGGTGTTAAGTCTGGTTTACCACGGCTATGAGAAATTAAAAAAAATGAATGTTACATATTTTAGAAGAACAATATTTCAAGCAAAACTGTCACTTGGGGCTTGGGCTTTGTTTTGAAGTTCACTAATTCGGCATTCCTTTCGACCACAATGTAGATTCTCCACATTGTGTTACAAAACAACTGTACAGCTACAATTTTATAAACCAATAACCATTACATTTGGAAATACGTAAGTGACAACAATTTTTTTTATATTTTTCAAGGACCTGAGGTTAATATTAAACTTTAGCTAAAATTTAAAAAGTATAGAAAGGTATTAGTAAAATATTTGAGGAGCAATTCGCGGTTTAGTCGTCACCTGTCGGTACCCGCGGCAAGTTGAAGCCAACAACTAGAGTGCGCGGTGCTTATGTGCGTCGCCACAAATCCATTGGCCACAGACGAGAGACGAGTCAGACACTCAGACGACAGACCCACTGTTCAATTTTTTTTGCAAGTTTTGAGCATTATGGCATATAATATAGTGCTGAGGCGCCATTTGGGGTATCTTGAAATCGCAAACAAAATAAAAAATTACATTTTAATAACATAAAAGCAAAACAAAAATGTACTCGTACAAAAATATTATATTATAAATTATAATGAATTACTAGTTAGTACAGAAAACTGAATTCAAACAATTCAATACAAGGGATTTATTACACAATTCTGGTAAAAAAAAATTGATTGCATTAACATATTAAGTTAAACGTGCAATCTATATCGTAAGTTACTTTAAGTTATTTGTATTTGTATTTTGTGGTTTGAAAAAATCATACTTAAATGGTACTATTATCGATATTACCAAAAGGTTCAATGAAGAAACCATGCCATTTTTAAAGACTTAAGCCTGTTTTCACATAAACGGTTGAAAGAAGTGACTGAGACCAATAATATGGCAATATGATACCAAAATATGCTTTCAAAGGGTTTTCTGAGGTATATGGTAAATTTGTTGATGATAAAACTTTAAAACAAGAATATGTTCAGTTCTCCGAGATTATTTTGATTTTGAAAAATGATGAATCTTCCAGAAAAATTTGCTGACACCGACAAAGATTCTTGGATACAATGTGATTCAGATGGTGGTGATGATGATGATGATGATATTCAATATACTATGATAGACCAAAATAGTAACAATTCTAGATTTTGCTTCACAAAAAAATTCTGAGTTCGGCGCCACTGGGGTGGTACATTTATCTGATTCAAAGATAGTTACATAAAGGTAGGTAGTTATTTAAAAAATATATTTTTAGTATATGACATTAAATAACTAATTATACCACAGTTAAAAATCATTCCATAAATAACAATCCTTAACATGCATTACTCTTATTATAAAATATACAAGTATAGTTGCAATTTGCAATAATTGTCTTTTGTCATTTGTACATAATTAAACATGTTGAAGTTAAAACATTTTAAAAATGATTTAGTAGCATTGATTTCTAATTTTGTTGCTAACTGCCATTGGAAAATCTAATATATTTATATCATTATTACTTAAACTACATAAACGAAAAACCACATTTTTAAAAATAAAATGTTTTAGATACTAAGATAGAGTCTACAATAAAATATAATCCTTTCATCATTTGCAAGATAAAGACAAATGTCAATTACTTTTATTACTTGTCTTTATTGGTACTTTAATCTCTTCTACTTAAAATGTATGTTTACACCTAAATAGTTTAAAATATTGGGTTTATTATTTTATTAAATATTGTTACGGAACCAATGCACACACCACTAAAACTGCCATTCTCATGGCCAACACATATGATCATACAACAAATATATGAAT